TTCTTTTATAATAAAACAATGGTCAAAAGATTTTCTTTTGACTCTAAACTGTGCAGTTTTCTTCCCTTAATTCTGAAAACATTAATCAGCAAAATTCATTTGATGCTCATAAATAAATCTGCAGTAAAAATTAACTCATAACTGTGAATTCATCACAGAATTTACCAAGACCACCAGAGATGTGAAAAATAATTATATTTATGAGGTTTATGTTGGCTGTCAGGAAAGGTTTGGGCACTGGAACAGGCTCCTTAGGGAAGTGGTCACAGCATCAAGCCTGACAGAGTTAAAGGAGTATTTGGACAATACTATCAGGCACATGATGGGATTCTTGGGGTGTCCTGTGCAGGTCTGTGAACAAGACTCGATGCTTGTGATGCATCCCTTCCAACTCAGCATATTCTGTGATTCTGTGATTCTGTGATTCATCTAAGTACCCTCTGGGCTATGCTTTTTTTTCCCCTCAACTGTACATAATATACAAATGAACAACAATTATTTTCTGAATCAGCTTTAAAAGGAACAAGAGAAAAGAGCTTTGAACACAGCAAGGTTAACTGGGGAACCAACTGATGGTGTTAGTTGATGCAAAGATAATTAATCATCGCCCAAGCTTGGTTCTCCTATGGATTTCTCGCCTACTCAGGCTTTGATAAACATTACCACATAAATCAGGCAGAATTAAATGAGCTTAGGACCAAGCCCTCCATGACATCAGTCATGGCACTGGGAATGTGGGAGTCGGGTTTTCAGCACAGGAAGCTGTAACCCCCAGAGGAACCCTTGGTGTTAAGCCAACCCCTCATCAGCATTTAGCAGTGAAGCAAACAAGAGAAGACATTGGCACAAGTCAGAGAGAACAGCAAAACAACAGGGTTGGGTTTATAGCCCTATTTTAGCACCTTTTAAAAAAGGTGATTGTTGATGTAATCATAGACATTGAGGAATAGCACTGTTTCAAATCCTTGCTTATGTGCACAACTTTTCAGTAAATCCCTAAAAGTGCATTTGCTGTGGTCAGAGATTTTTCTGTAATGTTCCCAGCAGTTCTCCAAAGCAGGTGGGTCACTGACGTCCTGGCAGTGATTGCTTTGCCTCCCCCTTTTGGATACAATTTAAAGCACTCGCTGAAAAACCAGATCAATGCTACAAAAATGCTCTATTTCACTTATGGGGATGTTTTACTTGACTTGTTTTGAGCAGGGTTCTTCCTAACCAGAAATGGTGTATCAGCTGCAAGATTTGCAAAGAAAGAGAGGGAGATTTGTCTGCTCCTTGAGGATAAGTGTAGTTGCCAACACTGCCATGCTGGTCAGACTGAGGTTTTGACACGTAATTTAGAAGAACAGATGTTTTATCTGGGAACTTGTCCAGACCTTAAAAAAACAAACAAGTGAGAAACTCAGTAGCAGACTCTTTTGTCAGCAGCATTATCCTTAAAAGTACTGAAGAAATAGTGAGTAAACAGCTGGATTTCTAAGACACAGCAGAGAAGCAGAGAAGATATGTGATTATCTTTGTGAGTGACTTACATGGCAGTGATGAACTAATTGGTCATTGCCGGTCAAATGGACTGAACAAAGCTGTAAAGCCTGGACATGTTAATATGCCCATTATTTTCATATCAATCCTCTCTTATTCTGTTATTTTGAAACGAGCCCAAGAGTGACATCTTTCCTTCCCATCCGCTGCACTATCAGCACCAGCAGAGACAAATGGCTTAAAGTATTATGGGACTGAGAATGCATGAGACAACTTTGAGAGATATTAACTACTGCATTTCATGCAAATCGGAACTAATAAAGACTTTTCCTCATAGATGTCCAAATTGAAAGGGATTTTAATCCACCCAAAAGATTTCATAAGACTCTATCATTAGTACAAGGCCTATTAAGCATATAAGAAGGTATCTCCAAATTTATCTTTTTCACACTTCTTAAATCACAACTCAGTCTTGCCTTTTCTGTAAATGAACTGTCCAATTTGTACTGTAAACACCTTAGAAGATGTGCTGACAAAACTCAGTTATCTGTCTGAAATACCTCTCTGACATCTTATCTTCTGCCTTAACTTCTGAACTACTAACAGCTTACTAGAAGAATTAGTTGGTTAATGCCCATGGAGAAAGACAAAAAAATTAATAAACTACCCAGTGGTTTTCCCTTGTTATTGTCTGGGTTCTCCGACAGTTCTGCTTGTGATAGGCCCTTCAAGATAATACATACAAATAAAACACAAACAATTAACATGGCTAAATATACCAACCGGAATCCAAATGATGCTATTTTACAAAGTTCCCTTTGGGCTATGCCCTTTTCCCTGAATTGTACATAATAATCAAATGAAAACCAATTATTTTCAGAATCAGTATGAAAAGGAACAAGAGAATGGAGAAAAATCTATGAACACAGCAACGTTAATTGGGGAACCAACTGTTTGTATCTGTGGATCTAAAGGGCAGTGGGTTGGAATTTGATGATCTTTAAGGTCCCTTCCAACCCAAACCATTCCATGATTCAACACCCAGGGCTGCTCACAAGGTGACTGTGGAGGGGAGGAGGAGCAGAGAAGGAGGAGATTGCAGATGTTGAACAGGAGAGGCCAGACTGCCCCTGGGGCAGGGTCCGAGCAGCTTAAATAACACATTTCCATGCAACTCCATTTTCTACACTGCTATGGAGCTCCTGCAGTGGTTTAAAAAACAGGCATTCCAGCAGAAAGGAAATGAAATAGGAATGGCATCGTACTGGCACTGGTGATTTCAGAGTTTGCAACACACTATGCCTGGAAAATCACATCTCTCCAGCCAGCCGGGCACACAGACCAGCACAGCTGTGTCTGGGAGGCTCAGCAATAACAAAGGTGTTGCTCTCCACTACTTTTTGCTGAGCCTACATACTGTGTAAAGCCACTGCAGCAAGTTGATAATGATGCATGAAATGGAAAATCCTCCTGAGCACACCCAAAAGCACCATGGATGTGCGAAACAATCATAACAGCACCGTGTTATTTGGTAATTGTTACTACATGTGCCCACACTAATATATTCAGATTTTTGCTGGTTTTAAATAGGTGCAACTCCACCCCTTTTAATGTGTTTACTCCTGATTAACACAGCATTTAATATGCCTGGAGCTCAGGCACAGAAAAAACAGAATGCTGTGGGACTAAAGATGAAAACCTTCAGGGGGTATACTCCACTGATTCAAATCAACAGAATTTGCCCTGGTTACATCCCTCCTTGACCCATCTACCCTCTGAGGCCAGGGTAGCAGGGTACCTGGAGAATAAACCACTAATAAAACCAGTGTGGGGTTATATGTGCCACTGTCACACATCAGCAGTAGTTCTTTCAGCATTGCAAAACTTGCTGGAAATTGGAGAATTTTCAAAGTTTTCAGTACTTTTCAATTCATCTCCATAGTCACAGTGTTACTCAAAGCTTTGCTGAAACAGCTGCAGGCAGTGGAGAAATCATAGAGAGATCACATGAAATGCAGCCTGGTTTCTGCAAAGAAAAGATATTCAGTTCTGCACCGTTCTTCTGAACATTTTGACTACTTTGGAGACATTAAATACTGGAAATAGCTCAGAAAGCATTTGACTCAACATCTATGTCTGTATATCATAAGGACTGCTGTATAATGCAAGGATTTAAACCAGGTTTCAATCCATCCTAACTAGAAACTACAAGCTACATAATGCCATAAATATCATTAAAATGTAAGCACTACACATAGCAGACTCCTAACTTCCTTCCATGGATCATTCCATACTGAAAACCAGATATTGAACACACTGCCTTGTGCACATTACACCATTAACTTTGTATTATCAAGAAAAGACAAATTTTTCTTACAGGATTAGCTTCCTCAACCAGGTGACAGTGAGATAAGATGAGAGGTTATCCATGGGAACCAGATCATCCTGAATTTGGTTTGGCTTAAACAGTTGTTAAACTACAATATTGGCTGACAACAACATTTGGGGACCTGAGCTGTGTTACAGGCAATTTTTTTCTTCTGTACTAAACAGAGAGAGAAACTGAAGAGCAGTCCCCAGATTTATCACTCAAACATAATAAAAGCAAGACAATGTATTTTCCTTAAAGTGCAGACCAAGCATTTAGAGTTGCTCATTACACAAGTACACAATTTATTCTGTTACAGATCTGTTGGCAAGTGGAGGGGCTGATTCCTCCAGTTTAATTCTGGGTCTTGACTCATGCTCTGGAGATACTCAACTCTAGTTTCTCTACTGGTTCTACTACTTCTCCTTCCAAAATAGGGTGAAGTTAGGTTTTTTCCTCAACATTTGTTTATAAATTTCTCAATTCTTGGTTGTAACATATCTCAACCCATGATCAATAGGCTTCTCTTCTTTTATTTGTAGCTCCTCTCTATAAAGTTCTGTGGTCTAATTTGAACATCCTGGCCTTGTAACATATTAGCTAGTTCATTTGCTCTTAATTCAGTCATTCAGCAATCTGACCTGGAGATTTCTGTAGTTAGGCGACTTCTCAAGGAGCTGCTCTATAAAATTTCACCAACACTTTTCAGCTCTTTAGCAAACGTAGGCAGAGATTTTATGTATTTATATATTTTGAATCTTTAATAATCTCCTGTTAATTACTTCTAATTAAGTTACTTGAACTGTAGATATTTCTGGCACAATGTTTTCATATTTAATGTTTTCAGTTTTTAAAATATGCATAATTACTGCTCTCTGGGGGGAGAAAATCCCTCCCAGAACTGGCAAAGAATTCTGCAATCCACACCACAGGATGCAGCATGTTCTGGGTCATCTTTTTTAAACAGCCTCAGTTATAAATATAAAACTTCTGTTTGTCTCTTTTTTTTTTTTTTTAACAGAAATTAAACTTTAAAGGAATATTGTAAAATTAAGAGGTTTTTAATATTAATTTTGGAGTTTTCTCATTTTACTTCTTCTCTCACACTGGATGTCAGTGACAGACACAAAAGCTTGAAGCAAGGCCTCACCTGTGCACCAGTTGCTTGCGGCTCACACAAATCGCAGTCTCGTAGTCGTGGGTAACACACACTTTGTGTGGGCTGCACTTCACCTTCAGGCAGGGATCTTTGGATGGATCAAGGGCTATAAAAAATCAAACATATTAAAAAAAGAAAGTGAGAAATGCAAGCAGAGCTCTTGGCAGGCACAGGACAGGTTAGAATGAACACTCCCATATGTGAGTAAACAAATACTTCGAAGTTCTATCACACTGTTTATTTCACAGAAAAAGCTATGTTTGGATAAAATGTACTCAATAACAAAATGACCAGTATTTTAGAAGCTAACTATTGACTGATATAATACAGAATGCTAATAAATTTAACTTCACAGATGCTGTAAAACAGGCATTTTAGATATTATTTTTAATTTTTACAGCTAAGCATCCACTGTATTTAAAATGCTTGAGTAGAAAAGAAGTAATAACAACAAAATAATCCTAGCTTTTATACAACAACCTGCACCACCAGCAGTGTTGTCAGAGCTGGGACTAGACAGCACGATGAGTTACCATCCCAGAGCAAATACGTCCAGGCTCTTGTCCCATTTGAAAGGTATCTGTCTAAATTAATTCTTCTACAAAAGAAGGTTTCTAAAAATCAGCAATAAAACATTTTCTGCCAAGATGAATTACAAGTATTCAAAATATAGTTATGTGAACACATCAGTAGGGAAGTCTCTGCCATACCAGTCACACAGAGAAATTTCACTTGTTTGAGAAGTGATTTTTACAGAAGCTCTTTTTGGATGTTCTGTTGCCATGGATTTGACTTCCTGTTCCTCTTCAATGTCTTTAAATCCCATTTTTACTCTCTCATCCCTCCTCACATCTTGGTCCATTCTTGGAAATGGACAACTCTAGATTTACTTTTGGGGATGGTATAAAGCTCTTACTTTATGATAACCACTTCCCATTTCTACTGAATAATCAGAGAAACTTTCAAAGGAGAACATTTGAAGTAGAAGAAGTTTCAGTTTGCTCTGCACCAGATTTTTCTGAGAGCAAATATATTTCCAACAAGCATAGGATTCGTCTGTTTTCCTTCGGGTCTGAAGAGCTGCAGCTGTTCTGTGCTAGGTTAAACAGCCACAGCTACAAGCTCCTGCCACATTAACACCCATTACACATTTGTGATGGGCAATTAAGCTTCACTAGTGCATATGTATTTACTGCAATGCCTGTGGTGCAAGACGGGGAAATCGTAAAAACAAAGCAAAAGTGTTAAAAGCTTTTTCTTTTAAACCATTAAAACTGATAGAAGAGGTGAAGTGAACAAGGAAGAAGAAAAGACCATCTGTTTCCTATGCCATAAACAATAAGGCAGCAACATTCATGTGTTGCCATTAGGAAAATACACAGGCAGTGTTTGAGGGGCCAGGGTCTGTCCCATTGCAAAGACCAAAGGCTGTCAAGGCTCTTCGGGAATGTTTTGCTGTTGCCTTTTGGTGTCTTTTTTAAGCCAGACAGATGAGAAGTATCCAATTCCCTGCCCTTTACATTCCCAGAACACAAACAGTGAGAGACACCTTCTTAATCCTCTTCACTCTCACTGGAGACTGAGTTAAGGACTGAGGCAGATCTTTGACAGGGATTTAAATGGCAAGCCACAGTTTTCTGAGCTGGCTATCTACCTGGATATTCTTGAACTGCAAACCAGTGAAACACCCTCCTTCTGCAAAGCCTTTAATGACTGAGCACCACTTGGAGTGTGCAGGGTCACCACATCATCGTTTCAGAGGCTGAGGTAATTCAAAGGTCACATCCACACACAAATTTAATGACCAGAACTTCTGCTCGCTTGCAGCTGGCCTTGCTCTGTTGCTGGAGCCCATGCACATTGTTTTCTATTGCTGGTGACACATCCTTGATGCAAAATGCTGCATCAACAAAAATCCCTGTGCAAACTGGCTGGCAGCCCAGGGCTCAGAGCTGCCAGGAGCACTGGGCTGCTGGCAAGTACAGCCTGGCCTTGTGCTCAGTGTTCTATCAGCCAAAACCTGAGGAGTGGGGATGTAGGTTTAGCCTGGAAAGTCAATACTACTTTGGCATGAATAAGGAGAAAAATTTAAGCCCACATGGTCTATGTGACATCATGCACAGCTACAATACTTAGCAATTTTTCACAGTAAAATTTACTCTTAATTGGTGAATCCATTTCAGGAACTATTTAGGTCCTCTAAGGCAATAAAAATACATGCAGCTCTGAAATAGCATCACACTACACATTTCTGGTAAAAATAAGATGACTTTCAAATATTTTGCAGCTTAAAAATTTTTTATCCAGAAAGAAAAAACACTATTGAATAATCATCAGGAAGGAAAGCAATGGGAAAACACGTGGTTGGAAATCCTAGCCACCATTTCCTTACAAATCAGGTCTCAACTTTCTATGCCTCAACTTGCTTCTAAAATCTGAGAACAATAATAATGTTGACAAAAATAAATAAAGCAACTGATGTATTGGGTGAATTACTCTGGGATACAGTGTCAAAGGCCTTGCTGAAATCCAAATAGACAACATCCACAGCCTTTCCTGCACCCACCAGGCAGGTCACCTGGTCATAAAAGGAGAGCAGGTTGGTCAAACATGACCTACCCCTCCCAAACCCACGCTGGCTGGGTCTGATACCCTGGCCATCCTGCACATGCTGCATGGTGACACTCGGTATAAACAGCTCCATTACCTCACCAGGTACTGAGGTCAGGCTGACTGGCCTACAATCACCAGGATCCTCCTTCCCACTCTTTTTGTGAATGGGTGTCACTTTGTCCAGCTTCCTGTCATCTGGAACCTCACCAGCGAGCCAGGACTGCTGGTAAATGATGGAGAGTGGCTTTGCAAGCTGATCTGCCAGCTCCCTCATCAACTTGGGATGGATCCCATCTGCTCCCATTGATTTATGAACATCCAAGTGGCTCAGCAGTTCTCTGGCTGCCTCCTCCTGGATAGCAGGGGGACCATTCTGCTCCTTGACACCATCTACCAACCCAGGAGGACAGCTGTCCTCAGGACAAGCAGTCTTCCCACTAAAGACTGAGGCAAAGAAGGCGTGAGACACTTCCACCTTCTCCTCATCTGCAGTTACTGAGGTTCTCTCCCTCATCCAATAAGGAACAATGGCTGGTCTTACCCTTCCTTATTATTATTAATATATTTGTAAAAACATTTTTTATAATCCTTCACAAAAGTTGCCAAATTAAGTTCAAACTGAGCTTTGGCCTCCTTAATTTTTTTTTCTACATGCCCTAGCAACCCCCTTAAATACTTCCTCCTTCCAAAGAAGATACATCCTTTTTTTATTACTAAATTCCTTCGAAGCCTCATTGCCCATCCAGGCTGGACCTCTGCCTCGTCGACTCGTCTTTCTGCACACAGGGACAGTCTGTTCCTGTGCCCTCAAGATCTGTGTTTTGAAGCACACCCACCTTTCCTGAAGTCCTTTGTTTTTAAGGGCTGCTTCCCAAGGAACTCACTGAATAAGTCTCCGAAATAGCCCAAAGTCTGGCCTCTGGAAGTCCAAAGTAAAAGTCCTATTGATGCTCCTCCTGATTTCATCAAATAT